AAAAACAAGATTTGTGCTTTTGCAAAATAAAGCAAACAAACAGAATGCGCGTTGTCATCCTTTCCTTTCCGTGAACTTGTTTATGGAGCGCCGAGCCACACTTATGTTTTAAATCTGTTAGCTTTAAGTCAGATATATTTCGCTTTTTTTTTTTTGAGCCCAAAATTAAACTTAATCAACCATCGATAGCTTTAATCGATTGCATCTCTTATCGACAATTAATCGATCGCCGATTAATCGTTGACATCCCTAATTGCAATTAGACTTGTGCCGGTATTCGGTGATGCGATATATCACGGTGATGAATATGCACGATATTGTTATCGTGGGCACTTCTAAATACCGTGAATAGTTATATATTACAAATTATTACGAATTTTGAATGCATTTTAAGAATACTTTTCCCATAAACTGGTCAAAATGCACAACACCGCTGTATGCTGTGTGAAAGACGGTGTGCACTCTGATGTAAATAAGCGCGGACGTGAAGCACATGGCGGAACGTGTGAGAGACGCTCTAGATGAAAGTGCACTTTCACTCTCTGACAGCAGATGGCGCTAAACTGCAGAAATTATAATAATAATAATATAATAATTCATTTAAATGCAGCCTTTACCCCGGAAACCCTGTAAACAAAGCAGTTGCACTACTTTCTGTTTCTGAATTGTGTTTAAATGATTTAAACAGCCATTCAGATTTGTGTATTTGCTATGATGTTCATCACAGCGCCAAATACTTAAATATTTAGACTTAATAGGCTATTTATTTTCAAACTTTTTTTACATTTTAATCTGGACTACAACATGCCCTAGATATTGTTTGAAAGTGTTTTGATTCTTTATTGTTCGGTCACACTTTACATTAGGGCTTCATTAGTTAACATTAGTTAATTTATTAGTTAACATAAACTGCCAATGAAAAATTCTTCTGAACATTCATTAATCTTAGGTATTCTAATATTTAATAACAGGTTGTTAAAATCTAAAGTTGCAACTGTGTTATTTAATGAGCTAACATGAACTAAGACTTGTATTTTTTAAACAAAGATTAATAACTTCTGTAGCAAATGTAGCTATTGCTCATTGTGAATGTTAATGCATTAACTAGCTAATGAGGTCTTATTGTAAAGTGATACCTATTGGTCTTTATAGTTCTTTTGCACTTTAATCTGTGTAAAACTTTTAACTTTATACATTTTTCTGTATTGCTTTATTGCATTTAAATGTTCAGTTATTTTTGTTATAAGAAAAATGTTATTAAACCTGTTATACTGTATTATGACAGCACTTTTTTTAACTAAATTTCAATATCGTGATAATACAATTACAGCAATTAATCGCAACATGAAAATTTGATACCGGCATATCCCTAATTGCAATATATATTGATATTAAGTTGTTGACCAGCCCTACATGAAACCTTATTTACCTTGACCAGTGTCCCATCATCACAGTGCCACACGATTCCCTCCATTCGCCCCTCCTGGCATTCCTGAAACCAGGAATACAGCTGCTGGAATTCCACTGGAGGAGGCTTCCGGATGCGCAGGACCCCATGGGGCACCAGGACATGGACTGGATGCTTCTTACTTCCCAAACCTACAGAATCACACAGTCAGCCACGGCCTAAACCAACAGAACTCCACTCAGTTTCTTACTTTCTTAACAGTTAAACTAGCATTCAAAAGAGTAAATGAGAGTAAAAACTTTAACAATGTTACAAATTATTGTCATTGACATTAAAAAAATGTCATTGTTTCATTAGAATGGTTTCTGAAGGATCATGTGACACTGAAGACAGGAGTAATGATCCTGTATATTCAAGTAGAAAACCTTATTTTAAATTGTAATAATATTTCACAATATTACTGTTTTTACTGCATTTTTAATAAAATAAATGCAGCCTTGGTGAGCAAAAGAGACTTAAAAATATATATATATATTCACCATATGGATTTCCATTAACGTTGGTTCCAATAAGCTCAAGGGTTTGCTCCATGAGGTCTGCCAGAGGAACGCTGACCATTTCAAGCAATCCCTCATCCTCTCCGTGTGTCTTCAGGACAAGAGCGACACCAGCATCATAGTTGACCACACAGAAGTGCCAGCAGTACTGCTTGTTGGTATGATCCACCGGAACCCAACCTTCATGATATATCATCTAAGCCATTATTTTCACTCAGTACAGTATAACTTGTGACAGGTGTAACGGTCACACGACTCTAACCCACCCAGTATGTGTCCATGTTCGTCCGGCACTGGATGGCCGTTCTCATGCTGGACTCTGTGAGCAGCGATCCAGGATTCTGGTGCTTCACAGAAATCTTTGTCTACGTTCCACACAAATCCTGTTATTTAGCAGAGAATTACAAAATATCTTATGTTTACAACTTTTATTTTCATTCACTGCTTTGTGACGGTTTCTTGTTAGCCCATGTTAAACATGTTAGAATGTTCATTATAATATTTATGTAAGTTCAATCATACGAAAATAATAATTTTAAAAAATCTAAATTAAAAAGTAGTTGGACCAAAATACCTTTACAGGTCTTCTGCGAATACTGATACTTTTTGAATCTCTTGTCCGCCTGCTTGGTGGGTTTCCGATCCAAGCGAGCCCAGAGATACGGTTCCCCTTCAAAAAAAAAAAAGTAATAATATTAATAAAAACCCTCATTTTGGATATGGAAATCACTATTCAATCTCTCTCTCTCTATATATATATATATATATATATAAATTTATACATATATATACATTTATATTATTATATATTACACATTTATACACATATACATTTATAATATTATATATTACACATTTATAAATACTGTTCTTTAAAACCTTCTACTCTTCAAAGATTTCTGAAGAAAGTCCACAAAATTATTTTGCAGCAATTTTTTTCATAATACAATCATAATAATAATAAATAGTATCAAATCGGCATATTAGAATGCTTTCTGAAGGACCATGTGACAGCTTTGCCATTAAAGGAATAAATTACATATTAAAGTAAATTTTATATTGTAATAATATTTAACAATACTACTCTTTTTAGTGTATTTTTGATCAAATACTTAGGCAAGCATAAGAAAATGTTTTCAAAAACTTTCAAACATTTTATCAACCCACACCCTTTGAAAAGATGTCTTTTTTACATAAACAACAATGATCCAACATTAATAACCACTTGGCCTCACGTTGTGACGCATTTATACCTTTGTATGTGGTGGCATAGCAGCACGTCCCATCAATCTTCTCGGTTGCTACTGCACAGTGAATATCTGATTGAAGAGCAGAAGGGTTCACATTCTCAGTGGCCACCACCTGAAACTGCTGCAGGATCAGAACGAGAATGAGTACAATATTCTAATAATGAATACAATCTCATATATATGCAATGCATGATGAATTTACCTGTGCATTTTTATTAAATTATTTTTTTTGTATGCTTTATTGTATAGCACTTTTACATCAGCCCCTGTTGCTTTTAAATGTGCTTTTTAAATAAACTTGGACTGAATATGCATATTGGCTTTGGGACAGTTACTCCGTTCAATGCACTAAATAAAATAATATGGAAAACATGAATTAAAAATAATGACGCGACAGGAGGTATACTATGCGCCATATTGTAATGCATTATCTCGTATTGCAATCGGACTGCATTTACAATGTTTACAGGGTTTTGGTCATGAGAACAATATGTACAGAAAAATGCTGATGGTTTATTTTACCCACCTGACAGTCGCGTTTTCTGGATGGTTCGTTTCTCACTTCCGTCAGGAAAACACATGGGATCTTCTGCTGCACTGAACCCAGACGCCGCATTATCGCTGCTGTTAAACAGCTTTATTACGGGGTGTGTTGCTTCACAAATTGAATATGGACTGATGAGCTTAACACATTTTCAGATCAACCATTCACACGCACTCACTGCTATTTTGTCCAGATTTCCTCTCATTCTGTAGTCTGTTATGTTAAGATGATCTTTGTCGCCATCTATTGGAACGGAGAGTGAACTGTTTTTTTTTTTTATAGTAAGCAGGTTTGATGTGCTTTTATCTCGGAGCAAAAAAAGGTGAATGCTACTTTATTCTTATAATTTTGAAAGTATATTTTAAAATGTTTTACATTTAAATAAATTAATAGTGCTTTAAGTAAAATGCTTTAATTTTCATGGAACGTGTCGCCTCATGGGGGCGCCATGTTGAGATCAAATGACTCTCAGTAATCATCGAATCAATGAAAAGTAGCTTAAAGGGTTAGTTCACCCAAAAATGAAAATTATGTCATTACTTACTCACCCTCGTGTCGTTTCAAACCGGTAAGACCTTCGTTCATCTTCAGAACATAAATTAAAATATTTTTGGTGGAATCTGAGAGCTGTCTGACCCTGCATACACAGCAATACAACTGAAATGTAATGCAAAAGAAAAAAAAAACTACTTTATTCAACAATTCATCTCCTCCGCATCACCCTGTAGCGCCATTTTGGAGAATATCCGCTGGACGTAAACAACGTATGCTGTTCTGTGTCAGCTGCGTCACACCGGATCTGTTTCCTACGTTGTTGTGATTTGATCTGAACGGAAACAGCGTATCCGTGTGACGCAGCTGACACAGAACAGTATACGTTGTTCACATCCAGCGGATATTCTCCAAAATGGCGCTACAGGGTGATGCGGAGACGAATTGTTGAATAAAGTCTTTTTTTTTTCTTTTGCGCACAAAAAGTATTCTTGTAGCTTCTTATAATTGCGGATGAACCCCTGAGGTCACATGGATTATTTTACCGATGTCCTTGCTACGTTTCTGGACTTAGGAACATTTCAGTTGCGTTGCTGTCTATGGGAGGGTCAGACAGCTCTCAGATTCCACCAAAAATATCTTAATTTGTGTTCCGAAGATGAACGAAGGTCTTACGGGTTTGAACCATGAGGGTGAGTAATTAATGACATAATTTTCATTTTTGGGTGAACTAACCCTTTAAAATGTACTCACTTGCAGGCCACCCAAGATATATATGGGTTTGTTTGTCATCTGAAATTTTGCATTAAATCACTTGCTCATTACTGGATCCTCTAGTAACACTGGATGAAGAAATAAGAATTATGGACTTATATATTTACCAGAGGCAACGGTTTAAACTTAAAATGTCTTAAAGGGATAGTTCACCCAAAAATTTAAATTCTGTCGTTAATTTCTCACCCTCATGTCGTTCCAAACCCGTAAGACCTTTTCCTGCATGTAAACAACGCATGGGCTGTGTGCCTTGTTTACATTCAGAGGAGAGCACGCACATGTGTCGTGATACTCTCCAAAATGACACGGAGGAGAATAATTGTTGAATAAAGTAATTCGTTTGGTTTTCTTTGCCCACAAAAAGTATTCGATTCATAAAATTACAGTTGAACCACTGATGTCACATGGACCATTTTAACAATGTCCTTACTACCTTTCTGTGCCTTGATCGTGGTAGTACCCTTGCTGTCTATGCAGGGCGAGAAAGCTCTCGGAACATGGGGGTGAGTAATCAATGACAGATTTTTGGGTGAACTATCCTTTTAAGGTTAGATTGGTTTCTTACAAACACGCAGTTTGTTGCTTGTTTCAAGACATTAATTGATGGACTGGAATCATGTGGATTACTTGTAGATTCTTGTGATGTGTTTGGACTCATTCTGACGGCACCCATTCACTGCAGAGGATCCATTGGTGAGTAAGTAATACTAAATTTCTCCAAATCTGTTCCGATGAAGAAACAAAATCATCTACATCTTGAATGTTCTGAGGGTAAATTTTAATCAAAATTTCATTTTTGTGTGAACTATTACTTTTAAGATAATCATCACTGACTTGTGAATAGAGGATTACTACTATACTATTCTTCTATAAATCTCATGAAAACAGACAGTGTATGTATAAACGATTTAATGCCAATAACTTTAATGACACAAGTCTACAGAAAGCCTCTAAAGTGCAACAGCATCATATGCATGAATGACCTCTCATTAAATAACATTTTCAATTTCAGAGGCAGAATCATGTTGGCATGCCCTTTAAAACCACTCAATTAAGTCTTTTAAGTAAATATATACACATGCATACACCATTTTGGTGTTATAGTTTTTCATTTTGTACCATGTAACTTGTTTTATGCCAGATAACACCTGATCCAGGCACACAAAAAGCCTTTCAGAGTGCAAAGTGAGAAGTTCCTTAGGTAACAACCAGACATGACCTGAGGTAGGTCTCTATAAAGCAAAAGTCAATTAGTACTGTGAACTATTTAACAACTGTTGTCAGACTCTATTTGATTTCTCCATCAGGTTTCATGCTGAAGGGCTCCAGGCGCTCGCTCTCAGGCAGCAGATTGTTGAGACGCTCCATCAGCGGTATCGTCTGGTCGATGCCCATCTGAATGCGTCTCAGAATCATCGACATCTCATTGACCTTCTGGATCTGCTCGGCGTACTTGGCGTACCGCTTCTGCCTTTCCTGCATGATGCTGAATATTGCCTCCACTGACAGATCCATCTGACAAAACAACAGGTCAGCATTCACAGCTAGCTTGTCGAAACCGTAAAATTCAATAGAAATGATGGTGAATACCTCTTTGATCCTCTTGACCAGAGCGTTCTGGTCAAAGGCAACAGCTTCTGCACACTGGTGTAGATGATCCTGATATCGGACACACAGCTGCAGCACCTGTGCCGAATCCAGCTTTTCTAAACAGATAGTGCTCGGAGAGGTTTGTCCACTGAGCACACCTGAGAGAATTAGGCTCAAATTGTGATTCATACCATTATGAACTACGGCTGGATATTGACACAGGTTTCACAAAACCATTCCAATTAATTTGGATAGTTGTCAGGAAAACAATCTCTCAACTAATGCGGTAAACTATACAGGAAACCCTGTCAGTTGGTATATTGCTATAATATTGAAGGTTAAAATTAATAACAGAGGCCAAATTTTATTGATATTTATAGTTATAATCAACACTCAAATAAAAATGGAGTTGTATGCATACATTTAAATTGCACATACGGCAGCTTTTCTATCAGTTTTATATTGGTAATTGCAAGTTTTTAATCTTACAATTCTGACTTGTTTTCCTCAGAATTTCTTGTTTATATCCTGCAATTGTGATTCTGAGAAAAAAAAAAAAAAGGTGTCTGAAATTTGGGAAATAACAGAAACAAAATGACTAGATATAAACTCGCAATTTCAAGAAAAGTCAAAATTGTGAGATATAAAGTCAAAATTCTGAGGAAAAAAGTCCGAATTACGAGATTCAAACTCAGAATTAAAGAAAAAAATGTCACAATTCCAGGAAAAAAGTCATAATTATGAGAAATAAACTCTGAATTCTAAGGGGGAAAAGTCAGAATTGTGAAATGAAAAGTCATTACCTTTTTAATGTTTTTATTCTGTGGTGGAAGTAAGCTTCCATATGTTTCTACTCCAATTCATGATCAAAATATACATCTTTAAACAATGGCTGCCGTCAAAGTATGAAAATGAAAGATTTATTCAAACATACATTAAATAATGAAGACATCACTAACAGCTTAAGTAAAAATATAATGAATATGTAGTAAAGAAGTGCACATATTTATCAAAATGCTCCTCTTTAGAGCTTGGTCGATGTCACAGCACACTAAACTACGTAAAAAAAAATGCTTGTTTGAATTTTGTGATAAAATTGACAGTGTAAAAGCTGTAACTTTGTTTTATATCAAAAGTAACAGCACAACCCAGTCCCAGATCTATTATAAACCATTTTCAAATTTGCAAAGCTTACACAGTTGCAAAAAGTATATTTAAACTATACACAAAGTATATATCTACATATTGTGTACATTTTATATAGTGGAGTATCTTTCTATTGAACTTACAGAGAAAAAAACACAGTCTGGCAATTTGGACAATACATTTAAAATTACCTGATCCTTTATATATTATTATTATTATGTTTGAATTAGTAATATATAATTTATTATAATTAATATAGAAAGAAGTGTATCTTGTGGTGTGACAAGCTGCATGAATAATACATTTAAAGGAACCAGCTAAATGTTAAGGAGTACCTAAGGTTTTGGGTAGTGGTTTTCAGACATCTTTTTTCTCGCTCTCTTTCAAAAACAATCTCAAAATGTATAGCAACACAAGAAATAAATAGTAATTAATTAATGTGTACATTTCTTTTTAAACAGCCAACGTTTTTATAAACAGTACTATTCAGAATACTGTTACATATATATATATGAAAACAATCTTCTGCAATTCCTCTCCTTTTGTAGTTTTAACTGTTAATTTATATTGTCTCCACTACCACTGTCCCTTCTTTGTTTTTATCAGGATAGGTTATAAACACAATTGTTAACGTAATTCCTTAAAACTCGGCATCTCCCTCAAAGAAATTAAAAGCTCTACAGGTTAAGCTAATGATTTTCAACATTCTCATCCATTTCTCAAACGAGCAAGTACATTAGACACAATGCAGCAACATGCGATTGAGAACCACCCCTTACTGGGATCATCAGCCATGTCAGTGAATCGCATGAAACCCCGTTTGATTGGCTACTCCGTGTGTCAATCATTCCGCCGTGAAATGTAAGCGCCATTCTGATTGGCCACAACAAGTGCACCTTTTTATCCAAAGATCCTATTGGTGGAAAATATAGGTTAGTGGTCCGACAGTCACACGAAGGAAAGAAAAGTAGGTCAGAGACTGATTCCGTTTATGTCATAGTTCCTCACGGATCGGACGCCAAATAACCGAGCAAACTGTGATGTTGAGCTATTCCTCCGGTAAGTGTGACGATTTAACGTTTGACCATCAGGTCTAAATATCGCGTTCTGCTTATCGATGTATTATGTGCGTGTTTTTGTCCGCTCGCATATTAATTTCAGTAGGAGGGGCGTCCATGACATTTCTCGGGTTGAATACCTTAGAACCGATGCAGCTGCCACCACAACAAAAACAGTAATGGTGTCAGTGATTTAGTTAGAATGTCATAAATCATAGCAGAGCGTAGCCACAAACCCACACCCATAATCGATGTGAGGTTAATGGTCTGCGTCCCCTTTAAGATGGTTGAATAGAGGGAGTGCAAGTGTGCTTGAGCCTCCTGTGTGGGTTGGTCACTTCAAAAGGTACTTCCATTTACATTATATCTGCTGTGTTCGCCTTAGAAATTGGGGCTGTGTCTCAAAGCCTTATGAGCTGTCTATCTAGACAGCATGCTTGTGCTGACAGACAAGTGATGCTTACTAGGTAGGCAGCTCACTATGGTTTGAGTCAGGGCTACAGTAGCGTCGTTATGCTTTCGATTGCGGTTTATCCATGTCCGTTTTGTTGCCATTATAAAGATACCAGCTTCAGAGAACAGATAAAGGGCGTGAGGACACCGTTCAAGTGAGCTTTTTTTAACCAGATTGCGTCTGAGTACTAGCCAGAGACAGCTGACTATATTATGCATACAATGAAGTCCAAAAATCAATTTAAAAATCTGACACGTTAAACATGGAATATATGAGATGATACTCTATTACCAGGCAACGATACAAATGCAAGCAAATTTGTGACACTGCCCAGAACTCATTTTTGCAAAAGGTCAGATGTTCTTGCTTTCACTGAAGCACACAGTGTTCTTTGCATCATTCTCAGAGCTTGCTGGATATTATGCTGAAATTCGTGTTAATTTTCAGCTCAACTTTTCACTTATTTTATAATGACAATATAATTTGGAAAAAAGCCAAAACTGGAAGTACTTTTATTGCAAAACAGGGTTAGTTGTCACATTTTTACTTTATTTCTTAACACTGATTTATATTTAAAAGATAAAATCTGTATCTGTAAGGCACAAATCTTAAACTCTTGACTACAAAAACATTTGAACATTTCTACCATGTAAAAAGATACAATTAATTTAACATATTTTGCCCACTTGTGACAAGGTGCCACAGTAGTGTGGCTTATTTTGGCACACTTCATTATTATTACAGTGTGATAAATATAAATGAATTTTAAATATTAATATTTATAATTAAATTAATTAATTTATTTTTAAATAAGTAAATAACTTTACAATTTATTTTTTATTTCTGTATTTTTAAATTATCTCTTATTTTATTTTTAATCATTATTATTAAATGTATTATTTTATATTTTTCATATTAAAATGAATTGTTAATACAATATTAATAAATGTTAAATATTTATAATACTAATATTTAAACATATTAATGAACATTGAACACCAAATATTACTTAATAATTATAAAACATTTAATATACATGTGACAACTTGCTCCAGCTTTACATTTGTGAAAAATACTATACCCTACCTTAAAAGACAGTTTGCTTTTAGTCGTGACAAGTCCAACAAGTTATGTGTAAGTGCTGCTTCCATATTGTAAGACGGGTGTGTGGTGTTCAGTTGAAGTAACTGCATTCCTAAAGTACAGCATCAAACACTCATCATTAGGGCGTTCATCAGCACTCATTTCCAGAATTAGTTGTTTTTCCTTAAACCACGTCTGGACTTTCTTTCGTTCTGCCACACGTCATGTTTCTCCTGAATTGGTCTGTAACAACTTGAATTGTGGCTCGTAATTAGGATGAGTAATACAGGTAGGTCTTTAAATGTGACATTATTATCATGTTGCCATGAAGGGAGGTTTGATTTGCATGTTTGGCTTTCATTGAACATACTGAAATCGACTTGACTTAGAATAAACTGAGATGAACTACTTATCTTTTTTGCTTGTCGCCTCTTTTTTTCTTTATCTTTGGCAGTCTGTTAAGGCAAGCCCACGCACTCAAGAATAGATCACTTGGAGATGGGTGGAGTGATGGCGGTGCATGAGCTATGAGAATAAAACCACAGAGTTTAATACTTTTGTTTAACTATGTGAATTTGAAAAATAATGTATGCATCACACTTAACTGCACTGTTGCTCCAGTGTAGGCATTTAAATGGCTGGGTCTGCAAATGCACTTTTTATTTCGGCAGAAAATCCCATTTGAACACACGGGACTCCTGTTTCATTTACGGCAGGAGAAAATGGGTCTTCCGGCCCTTTCTTTCTGCCAGTTGCATTTCTGTAATCTAAATGTGGCCTAGATTGCGAGCTTTCCAAGGGTTTCCTGGCAACCAGAGCAGGTCATTGATGAAGCTCACCATTTCCGTGCGTATGTGAGTGTTTGTGGGAGTATGAGAGAGATTTTTTTTCTTTGTCATTTTGTTTGTAGATAATAAGGAAGCTCAAGTTACCTATTAACTTAAAAGAATAGTTCACCCAAAAAAGAAAATACTGTCATCACTTACTTCAGTCTAAACCTGCATGACTTTCTGTATTCTGTAGAATATCTCTTTTTAAAAAAATTTTTCTCAATACCTCCTTGGCTGCTGTTAAATTTGTTTGATCTTTTATGTACTACTATTTAAACTCCTTTTAATAGCAGTTTAGTCGATGGAAATGTCTCTGCTTGTTTTAACCACTTATTAAAAACCTAATTTAGATTGTACAGTTGTAAGTAATTAATGACCTATACTAAAATTACCTTTTTATCAAATGTTTTCGAGAAGGTAATTTTATCACAACTTGTTCCATATTTAGTTGTGAATGCTCTAACAGATGTGTTCCAGTCAGGTTTAGGACCCTTCATATTACATAATCTGGCCTCCTTAACAATACTTTATTGGCATTTGATTGGATATTTAAAGGATAGATCTTCAGTTTGTATTGGTCATTTGTGTTCTGCATTGATTAAATTAAACAGCGGTGTG